TTTAAAGTCGTAGCAAAAATTGCAACAAAATGTCTCTACGGCGCCACCTAGAAATTGGAAAAACACCCTTTTTTACCCTCTGCTATTCACTTACTTTATCGTAGACACATGAAATTTGGTACACTTGTAGAACTCCCCAAGACGCTCAAAATTTACAATTAATGTCATAGTGCAAGTATCACAGGAAGTCAGCCATTTTTGATTGAAGTTCCCATTTTGACCCCATTTTTGCCGATTTTTGCCGTTTACAGCCTTTGTATTTGATCTATCTCCTCCTACGGATTTTGATTGATCGACTTCAAACTCGGTCAGTCTGTTCATAAGGCATGTCCCATCTAAAGTTATCTAAACGGTGAGTTTTTGAGTATGCTGAAGGGGGGTTAGCAGGGGTCAAAGTTCACCTACTCGCCATAAAAAATAAACTGCTATATCTCTTACACAGAAACTCACAGAAGCATCAAAGTTTCTGTGATTGATCATCATCGGGTCTTCTACAATACCCTATGGTCGAATGATGACATCACTTAGGCCACGCCCCCTGAGAACAGGAAGTGTAATGTTTTACTGTGAACTGTCGCTATCTGACCCCTTTGACCTCATCAACATGAAACTGTGCCCAGACACAGAGAACATGTTGGTGTATTGAGGATTCCAACCCCGACCAGCTTCGATGGAGCAGGTGGGCGTGGTGGCGTGGCGAAGTCACCTGTAACGCCATCGCCATACGTTTGGCTCTCAATTCCACATTTTCGGGCCCAGCTGCTGCAAACTCATAAGGATGGACCCTCATCCACTCCCCAACAGGAATCCATCACAATATTTGGTGGGCGTTGCCTAATTTCTCTATAGCGCCCCCTAGAAAACTTTAAATGATCAGCCCCAAGCCATGCTTTAACCTACAAATACGAAACTTTGTACACATGTGTACCTTGTCAGGACGTACAAAAAAGTCTCTTGGAGCCATGGTCTAAACCCCACAGGAAGTCAGCCATTTTGGATTCAAGTTCGGTTTTTGACCCCATTTTTGCCGTTTACAGCCTTCATATTTGATCTATCTCCTCCTAGGGATTTCGATTGATCGGCTTCAAACTCGGTCAGTCTGTTCATAAGGCATGTCTCATCTAAAGTTATCTAAACGGTGAGTTTTTGAGTATGCTGAAGGGGGGTTAGCAGGGGTCAAAGTTCACCTACTCGCCGTAAAAAAATAACTGTTATATCTCCTACACAGAAACACACACAGGTACCAAAATTACTGTTGTTGATCATCATCGGGTCTACTACAATACCCTATGGTCAAATGATGACATCACTTAGGCCACGCCCCCTGAGAACAGGAAGTGTCATGTTTTACTGTCAATGGTCGCTATCTGACCCCTTTGACCTCATCAACATGAAACTGTGCCCAGTCACAGAAGACATGTTGGTGTATTGAGGATTCCAACCCCGACCAGCTTCGATGGAGCAGGTGGGCGTGGCGGCGTGGCGAAGTGACCTGTAACGCCATTGCCATACGTTTGGCTCTCAATTTTATTTTTAAAGTTTTATTTTTTTTAATAATTTTGTTTTGTGGGTTAGAGTACAAACATTCATTAATTTTGGCTAGAAATAATACAAACATCGTCATTCAGCAAAACCTTTATTGTGTTACTCAGCTCCGCTGAGTAACACATTCTGGTCAGTGTTGATGGAGTACGACTGGCCCCTGGTGGCGCAATACTGGTACTGCTGGCGCAATACCATTATTGCGCCAGCAGGAGTCACTGGTACTCCATCAATGAGAAAACAAATCAAGTTCGGTTTTTTTCGGACGGCCGTGAAAACGTTTCCAGCGCGTCTGCCGTGAGATTTCCAAAAGGACAGCGATTACATTTAACCTGAAATGTTATATGTAAGCCCTAAGATAATTTTTGTTGGCTTAAAACACGGAGTAAATGTAGCGTTTTGTTAATGACTGTTATTTCCTACCGCAAGTAAATGCATCATTTCCCTCGTCTCTGCCTTAAAGGCCAGTCAAGGGCAAAAACAAATTTAAGCAATTTGATTGGTTGAGAAGGACTGCACGTACTGCTGTGCTAATACTTACTGTAAGTACTGGCAGTCGGCAGGAGATCGTACATGGTTGAGGTTCGGCGCATTACGCTGTGGACTGTACATTTATTTTGCTAAACTGTTGGAGCAGCTAAGTTTTCCTGAACATTATGCCTGGTTATGGAGCCACAGAACCGGACCACGCTAACGTTTGCTTCGGTTTTGGAGCTGCAGACCCGAATGACGCTCATGAGCCGGAACTGTCTGTTGGAGAGGAGTTTTATTGCCGTTCGTCTTAAAAGTGGTAACTGGAGATGCGGTGAGTGAAGCTCAGTTCACACTACACGATTTTAGAAAAGTCGGCCAATTCTGAAAACGTGAGAGAACACACACTAGCCTATTTAAAATCGTAGGTGTAACGGGTTCGTTCTAAGAGTGTGAGGTTTCACTCGAACACATTCTAATACCAGCTACGAAATACCTTCAAATTAAAATTCTGCAATACCACAGCTGAATTTGGAGTAAACAAACAAACATGGACAACGACGTTGAAGTGGTAACTTTAGTTTGCGGACTTATTTTAACCCAAAAAAGACGTAACCAAAAATCAAAGCCTTGGATTAAGAACTGGAGATATCGTAAGCAAGGATTATATTTGTTGCATCGCAACATGGAGGTGAGTTTTTTTTTTTTCATAAAAAATACTGTTTTCAATGTTTTTAGAAAATCAAATGGGAGTTATCCTTTCTCCCCAACTGACCGCTTAACGTAGCCTATTCCAGCTCCTTTCATTGAAACTTATTATATTGTTTAAAATTGTATTATGACTGCAGAATAAAATCAAATGCGCCATTTCAACCAAAGATTGGAATGTGCTTCTCAACCAGATGTACTCTGTGCAATAATTTTATAATTATCTTTCATTAAAAGATAAAAAAAAAATCGGAGGAACACCACAGAGATTGGATGAATGAGCAAAGATGATTAAAGACAGTCAATATCCCCGATTTTAGATCAAAGCGGTCCCGATGTTCCACCGACTGGACCCGATCGGTCGTACACACCACACACTACAGGATGATCGGTTACGATTGTTGAGAGCGACAATCTTACAACGTTCTGAGTTCTTAAGACTGATACATTGGGGTTGTAATATTTACTTGGACCACTTGCTGTGATTAATACCTAATTATTGAGAGAGATTAAACCTGTGCTTTTGTTCTAATGTACTGAAAGTTAACTGTGCTCTCTGAATGTGCATTGCCCTTGGTTTATTACTGATCAGAAGGGTTTATTAAACTGATACATCTTAACCTTTACCATTTTCCTGACTCATTTTAGGAAAATGTTAAAGTTGCACTGCATTTCAGTTGCAGTTAACATCAAAGCATGTGGGTGTGGCTTAGTGTAAAACTTTCACTATTTGCCATGAAACATAAACATTAAAAAACTTCCAAATGCAAGATCACAGCTGCATCACACTTCCTGTGTTTCTCTATTGAACAATCCTGAACACATTTCCATGGTCACTTGATGAAATCACCCTAGCCCCGCCCACTTTTCAAGGCAATCACCAGTTTTTTCTCCTGTGAGTTTTACTGTTATTCTATCATATATATTTGTTTCATCATGTGAATACTGACTTAAAACGACAAGATGATGAACTCTGTGAATGCTGGCTGCTGACCAAACCGCATTGGGGTGTAGAAATGGCGAACTGCAGTTCTTCACCATGTGCATATGATAGGCTCTAAATGATACGTTGATCATCCGACTGGCGCCAAATTGGATATGTATGACCTTTGTTGACCTCTAAACACCCCAACAACATTGAAATGTATTTTGACTCCACTGCGCCAACTACATTAATACGCCAGCTATATCTCCTCGCTATATCAACGAATCTGCACCACATTTTTTGTGCGTCGTCAGGAAGTGCCGCCGAACGCATCGATGCGTACCGCCTGGTGGACGGGCGCGGAAACCGTGCAACAACTTCTGTGTTAGAACGTGGGGAGCGTTGATGGAAACGAAGCAACAGTTTCCGCGGTGCGGGCGGAGGTGCTGAAAACTGCTGAGAGTATCTGTGGTGGCTGGCGTCGGGCGGCGGTTGCTAGTACCCTGCGGTGGCAATAGGCCGGAGCGGCGCTTGGCTGCGAGGGCCGCTCGAGGCTGCTTGCAGCTTTAATTGGTTGTTGTTTTTAAGAACAAAGATTAAAAAGTTGCTGACAGCTTGAAGAAAATGTATCACAGATGTGAGCCAGGAGAAAAACGTTACATGTAGACCGACACAGTTTAAATGTCGTCTGTGGAATGTGGATCCCTTGCGAGCAAAATGTATGAGCAAGACATGCTGACGAGGTCAAGGTGGAGCGCTTCGCTGACGTGTCAACATATTCTTGAACTGAACATTGCTGCAGAAAATGAAGTGAGAGTAAAAATGCGATGGACTGCTGTGGTTAAGTTGGCAGATATTACAGTGGAGAGACACCTAAAGCGCGCCAGTGAATACAACCTGAAGGTTTTCATGTGTGATCAGGTTCTTTTTGTCGCTGTGCATGTTACCCAAACTTCATCCTTGCTGCAGGCAGAATGAAGTTTGCAGGATGAAGTAAAGTCATTATTTACAGATGCTTAACAGGACAAGAGCAAAAAAAATTAGAACCGTTTTACTATCCCATTATATCCTGAAATATTTTCCCTTTGAGGATTAAAGTAGGAAATGATGAACTGCTGAGCCGTTCCTAGAAATAGTTCACTCTGCAAATTTAAACAGAATACTGTTAAATCACATATTGATGCCATATGCAGAATTAATTATCCTTATGAGAATAAGTAAAAGGGAAACATGCACATACACTGGATGAGGTGAGGAACATATTTTTAAAGATTTATGGTGAGATAGATTTATCATTCCTCCTGATTTTGCTGAATCACCAGAGAAAAGAACTGTTGAATATTGATCCACCAACCTTTCATCATCAGATTTTGCTTTAGGCGTTTTGGTTGCTTCCTCAGGTGAAGTGAAGTTTTCATCAAAAGGATTAGTGGAAATGATTTCTACAGGAACTCTCAGTTTGATTTTTGTTTCAACACTTTTCTCTTCTTTTATTTTGTTTTCCTTCTTTTCTTTTGCCAACATTTCCTGCTTCCTCATTTCCTCTTCCCTCCTTATTTTCTCCTCTTCAAGCCTAATTTTTTCTAGCTCCTCTTCTCTTTGTTTCTCTGCTTTTATTCTCTCTTCTGCTGCTCTTTTTATTTTTTCCTCCTCCTTTTGCATTTTTGCTTGCTCTTCTTTCATTCTTTCTTCTTTTCTTTTTGCTTCTCTCATTTCGTCTTCCAACCTTTGTTTCTCTGCTTTCTCTTTCTCTCTTATTTTCTCTTTCTGGATCTGTTCTTCTTTCTCTCTTTTTGCTCGCTCTTCTTCAGCCTTTTTTCTCTCCTCTTCCTCTTTTCTCAGCTTTTCTTCAGCCAACTTCTTTTCTTCCTCTTGTTTCCTCTTCTCCTCCTCCTCCTCCCTTCTTGCTCGCTCTTCTTCAGCCTTTCTTCTCTCCTCTTCCTCTTTTCTCAGCTTTTCTTTAGCTAGCTTCTCCAGTTCTTCTTGCCTTCTTTTACACTCCTCTTCCTCCTCTTTTTTCTTCCTCTCTTCCTCCTCTCTTTTCATTTTCTCTTTCTGGATCCGTTTTTCTTCCTCTCTTATTGCTCGCTCTTCTTCAGCCTTTCTTTTTTCCATTTCCTCCAGTCTCAGCTTTTCTTTAGTCAACTTCTCTTCTTCCTCCTCTCGTTTGCGCCTCTCCTCTTCCTCCCTTTGCATCTTTTCTTGCTCTTCTCTTGCTCTCCTTTCCTGTTCCTCCAGTTCTTTCCTCTTTGCTAACTTTTCTTCATGTTCTTTCCTTCTCATCTCTTCTTCCATCTTAATCCTTTCCTCTTCCTCTTTTCTGAACTTCTCTTCAGCCTCAATCCTTTCTTCCTCTCTTCTCTTTTCTGCCATTAGCCTAGCTTCCTCCTGTTCTCGACGAATTTTCTCTTCTTCCTCTATTCTCATCTTTTCCTTCCTTAGCATCTCTTCTTCTTCCTCCCTCCGCTTCTTTTCTTCTTGCTCCATTTTCCTCCTCTCCTCTTCAGCTCTCTCTTGTTCCCTTCTGACTTTCTCTTCTTCATCCTTCAGTCTCCTTTTTTCTTCAGCTAATTTAAGCTCCTCTTCCTGCCTCCTCCTCTCTTTGGCTCTTTCCTCTTCCTTGATTCTTTCTTCTTCCTCTCTGCGCCTCTTTTCTTGTTCCTCTAGTCTCCTTTGTTCTTCTGCCAGTTTTTGTCGCTCTTCCTCCTCTTTCCTGACCTTTTCTTTCTCTTCGCGTCTCAGCTTTTCTTCAGCCAATCTCTCCAGCTCCTTTTGTTGTTTCCTGATGGCCTCCTCTTCCTCATCTCTCCTGTCCTTTTCCAACTTGGCCTTTTCTTCTTCCTCTTTTCTTAAGTCCTTAATATTTTCATCATCTTCCTCTTTCTCTTCCTCCTCTTCTTCCATCCAGGGTGAATACTCCCTCACTGCTTCAAGTGAATCCACAGATGGAGACGGGTTTTCCGGGACATCCTCCGATGATCCACGTCCTGAACTTGACAGGCTGAAGCTGGATCCGGCACGAGACGTCCGTGGCGGCGGCTCCTCGCAGTAAACATGGCTGCCGTTGATGCACAAATTACTCTGCTCCTGTTTTTGTTGGCCAGAGGACGAACCTTTGCTGTCAGAGCTGCTGGAGTGCTTATGTATCTTGAACTTGAACTTCTTTTTGCCTGAAAACACACGAGGAAAATTAACATGCATGCAGAAGGTTAATGGAGGCGTTATGGAAAAAGTGCTGACCCTCAGAGGAATCCACGTTCAGCCCTGATGATTGGCTCCCACTCAGTGAGGAGTTCTTCGCAGGCAGGACGGACATGGACTGAGACAAATTCCTCTGCAGGTTGGATTTAGGAGAAAACAAAGACATCCTTTTGTTTTGCTTCGACTTTCCTCCCTCTCCACCTCCGCCAGCGTCCTCTTCTTCGCTGTCTGTCAGAACCTGAGTAGGCGAAGCCACCACACCTGATGAGGAGTCCAGCTCCTTTTTCTTTCCACGGACTTTGTCTTTAAGCTTCCCCAGCCGGGAGCGGGACTTCCCTGCCGCGGAGAGGTCAAACATGCTGGCGGTCATGTTGTTTCTCATGAACTGGATGTCCAGAAGGACCTCCCCGCGGTCTTTGTCCGGCTTACCGGTTTTATCCAGCAATTTAAACCATCTGGAAAAGAAATGCACAGTATTAGGAATCCATGCTTATATGAAAGCTGTTTTATGCACAGATTATTCTGAAGAAATAACTAAAAAAATAAAAGATTTATATTCAAATTCCTGCAAATTACAGCTGCAAAAGTATCGAGACCAACTCAACTTTTTCATATTAACCATTTTAGCACAATCTATGTAAAGGCGCTTTCAGAGGACTCTCTTTTTTTAAAAAAAATTTAAATATTTGTTGACATCACAGGGCGGCATTGCAAGGAATTTTTTTAAAACAGTGTTCAGACCATATGAATTATATATGGCATTTCTCTACATGCGTTTGAAATATTCCAGGAGTAGAATGAGATGCAACCAGGTTTTATTTGTGCATAATAGCAGTTTAGTTAATAAATGTTGAGTTTGCATTCAGTTTTTGATCCAAGACAGAAAAGGAATTAATTCAGTTTTCTACAGGAAGGGATTCTCTGACAGTTTGGATGTTAATAATTAAGTTTTAACACATCCTTGGTTGATGATACAACAAAGGAGAATTGTTAAATAGAGAGGAATAGGAAAACTCAAACTTAACATTTTGAAAGCAAACAAACTTTTTTGTCTTAATAAAAAGGACAAGCAGATTTAATCTTAAATCGCTTCCTGTTTGAGACACAAACATCCATTCATGCTCCAGACATTTAAAGCCACTGAAATCTCCTGAATTATTTCAAACCAACCAGATTAGACTTTTTACTTCCCACAGGATTTTCAAGCCACAAATCTCCAGTCAACCCCATTTTCACCTTTTAAACAATTGGTGCAAAAACAGAAAGACGTAAACGGCACTCCAAAAAAATTCTAAATAAACTGATTTTCGTCAATAGAAAGGTGCCCCAGCTTCACAGTGATTGTGAAACAATTTTACAAAGAAAACTTAAAGAGCCCACTCAGCATTAAATAAATGCCTATCGGGCAAAAAGCTGAGGTCAGCTGACCACTGAGAAAACGACTTCGGCTGAAATCTGGATTCTAAAGGAAATGAGGAAATCAGGAAGGGGCATTGTGAATGTAAGCAGAAACATGCTGAGCTGTGGCTGCAGGCCTTTCTTTGTTTTACGAACGCGACTGTCTGGGCATGTTTTCATAGTTTTGAGATTATATATGACTCTGTGTCATATATATATAGTTTATGTTTGTTCCCAGGAGGCAACAGACATAATTTACCTCAGAGGATTGCTCTCCTCTCATTGTGCTGCACAAGTTATGTTGCTTAGATTTGCTCTCCTCCTCCTTCTTCAGGAATGCTTTGGCACAAACAAAATTAAGGAGGCAAGCCGCCTTTTCCTGGAATTTGATACACGGTTCAGTCACTACCGTCACAGCCATCCCTCCCCCCAGCCTCCTGCTCACTGGTGGAAAAACTGGAAATTATCTGCAAATTTCAGGCCTTGAGATTGAAAATAATCTGTGCATCCAGCTTGATTTATTCAAAGAACATCCTTCAGATATGCACTGCTAAATAGATATTGGATTTATCATGTGGAGATGAGAGGGAGGAAGATAAAATACTCTGTTTTTTTTTTTTTTATTTATATGCATTGACAAGACTTCCTATTAATCCCGGCATCTTTTGGACAATTTCACTGGCAGATTAGATCAAATTTTCTCAGACTAGCTGTTTAGCGCTTTCATTCTGTGTAAACTAGACACTTTTCTGAGCTAAAAGAATTTAAACATATACATACCTAAACAAACCCTCTATATTCTGCTGCATGAAAGAAAAATGAATCCAAACGTGTGTGCAAGTTTTTAACAAGATTGAGGCAAAAAACTACCCTCCACTAAGAGACTTGAGCTCTCATCGTATTTGTAAAAATTTGCAAGTTGTTCTGTTTAATGAGCTCAGCCTCCAGGAGTGGATTTATTAAGCAGCTGTGGGCTCCACCAAGCAGCAGCACATCAAGAAAAAGGCTTGAATAATCAACACCTTGACCGCAGAAAAAGACCTTCGTAGAGAATCAGCGCACGCTCTGCGACGTCTCCAACCTTGGTGGCGTCTCAAAGTTCAACACGCAGCTGAATGTGAATTTGGCAAACAAATTTCCAAATGGGGTCTCAAGAAATTTGACACAAGGTCTGCAAAAATGGAGCAGATTTATATTTTGGACTGAATTCCTAAGTAAACATTTCCTATAATAATTTGTCATCTTTGCTAAGCCTTTATTATCCTTACTTCATTGACTAAATACAGTCATATTCAATAAATCAAAATATGAAGTCCAACGAGGCTTGCTTGATTAAAAAGTACCTTTAGAAGGCAGATCCTGAATATAGTTTTTATTAAGCTCACATTATAGTTTTAATGTTGTGTTTTTTTAACTGTAAGGAGAAAATGATAATCAACAAAAATAAAGGTTTGACGAAAACAGCTACATTTAGTCGCACCTTCATTCCTTAGCTTATTTCTGCCAATTACATCAATAATCTTATTTTCAGAGAAGAATCTGGACAAATCAGTGAATTGAGAAGTAAAATGTTTGACAGCTATTTGTCTCTTAAACCAGGGAGACGTACATATGGCATATTCTCCTCTAAACAACCATCAGTCATGGAAAACTATTCAAGATATTCCATCAAGATCATCCCTGATGTCAAGGATAGGAGAGTGACTCTTAATTGTAGTAATTAGTATTTGTTTCAGGATCTCAATCTTTTGGATAGTTTTAAACTAAGCCTAAAAATCAAAGTGGGCATTTTACTGTTTAGTTTTGTACAACAGCAGAGCAGCTACACCACGGGTCACAAAGCCAGACACTCTACAAATAAGCCTAAAAAGAGAAGAAGCAAGTTCCTCAAGTGAAATCAGAGGGGAAGTTGCAAAAGCATTTGGGTGGAGCCCAACACACTCTGCATGAGGTGGAATTAAACTGGTGCTTGCTCTACAGATGCTTTTAAACCTCTCTGAGATGATACAAAGTGTGCTACTTTACTGAGCAGACAGAACCAGAGGAAGATAACAGATGACTTAACTTTTTTTTTTTTTCTTGCAGATACCCATCGTACTTTCTCTGGACACATCCTTCCTGGGGCGCTGATAACACAATAGCCCAGAGTGACTCAAGAATTTCTTATCACAGAGCACAGCTGGGAGCAGGAGAACAGCTGAATAAGCAACAATGCAGCAGTAAGAAAGTCCGAGGACTAAAACTGTCTGACATGTTGCTGGATCAGAAAGGCCAAACAGGAAGATAAGAAGAGCTTTTAATGGTGTGTTTAGAATCATTCTTTCAAAAGGGGCTCATAAAACAATTTCATTAAAAAAATATATAAATAAAAATTGTGAACAAGTTTGACTGCAGTTATTCAGATTCACAGAGGGTCTAAGTTGTCCTGAAGGAACCGTCAGCAAGGTCATGACCTGGAGGGTTGATCACAAACTGACTGGTTTCCTGGCAGAATCTTGGCTTTCAAACAGTCTATAAATTTTCAATATGGCTGATGTTCAGGATATCCCAAGAGTTTCATGTTAGCCTGATTTAGTCAATAGAAAACCAGGCCTAATGGGCATCTGGGATCACCGTCCACCAGGACCACACAGTGCTGTGCTGTTTCTAGTCATCTGTTGCTGTTGAGTTGAAATGAAAATTTCACCAAGATTGTGCAATGCACCAATACCACAGACAGTGAGACAAACCCTTAACGTGATGATGACGACTCCTTTGACAACATATGGCCTGAAGTCGGACTGTATGGTCACAGTCAATTTGTGCCCAAGCCTCTAATTCCTGGCTTCAATTTTTAGCTTACTCATACCACAGGATATAACTCCAAAAAAAAGTTTGCAAACTCATCTTTGTTACTTTTTCTCTTACTTGTAGTTTGTTCAATTACTTTTGTAAGGCAGGTGCATCTTCATTCAACTCAGATGTTGCAAATTACCCAATCAGAAGCTCCTAAAAGCCATGACATCATCATCCACTTTTTCCCAAATTGCTTAAAAGGCATGGTAAACATTGTGAATGTAAACTTATGAAATTGATTAAAATTACAATGATTAAATAGATAAATTCTTATTTCAGTTTTATAAATAGAATAATTTCCCTCACTCCAACTGAGAATCTTAATGTGATTTTATGTCAAACCGGGAGAGAAAAAAAACATTTACAAAAATAGTTTCAGTAGTTTGATCCTCACCCAGAAATAAGACTGGCTTAAATAAATAATGAAGTTGAAAATAATTAAAAGCACTGTGATTTCTAGTTTTAATTTACCTGCTGCTCACTGTAGCTGTGCTTTAATCATTGACTGCAGATTGTAATTCATTAGCCTTTTGCAGAGACGCCACTTTTATTGTTCTAATACTTAAAAAAGCTGAAGTTTGATGATGTGCCATTTTCACAAAGACAGACAGTCTCACATTTTACAGAAGCCACAGATCAAAATGATTAAATAAATTCTACCTGCTTCATGTTCTATTTTATTACTTCCTGGCACTCTTTTTCTATTAAAAAAAAAAAAAACAGAAATTGAGGGAAGTTGACATTTCTTTCACCGACATTGTGACCTAATCTTTACCCAACTTTAAAACTTTACATTGATCACCATAGTTCATGAACTGTGCTGCGGTGAAACGAGGCCTTCCTTTTTCACAGTGGTTGAGCTGTGAAAAACTGACCTTACTTGACTTTCACTGTTGCTGTCAATGTTTGTTTTCTCATTGATAAAATGTTCAGGAATGCGAGGCCAAAGCTGGAGGGAGTCACTGAGCTCACAGAAAGATCAACACAGATGAGCTGCGTCAGAAAAAGAAACACGCAGAGATCCTCTTGTGTTAAAGACGATCGAGGATTTTCATACAGCTAGTTATAAATGGAGAGAACCAGGCAGATTTTTTACATGTCTTATTATGCTAATAAATCCATGGCACTGGAGATTAAACTTTTAAAACAACTAGCAAGGTACAGTCAGTTTTTATCTATTTTAGAGGAAAAAACATGATTCTTTAAAGACGGGTTGGCTTTATTGAACTGGGTTATGTTTCCATAGCAAGGCTGAAAAACACACAGTGAAAGCAGAGAAACCTCTGATGTAAAGACACAAGTGTTAATGGGAAGCAGATTAGAAAAAAGAGAACTGTTGTTCATAGCAGCGTTTGTAATCTCTGCTCACTGATTTGAGGTTTTGCTATAAAGCTGACAAATGGTGCATGAAAAACTGTGAAGGTCATAGAGGTTGTTTGGTCGTCTTAATCCATCTTGAAGGGGCTTTCCATGATCACCAATGCTATTGTAGAGGCAAAAAACTTGATCATTTTAATAATTAGATAAAAGATGTAAAGATTTTCTTTCTTTATTTAATGAACATTTGGTTCATTAAATTTTCAAGTTCAATAAAATATGTTAATTCTGGATGTTCTTTACCTACAAAGTTTAGATTGTTTTTCTTTCTGTGTCAAGGGAAATAAATAAGCTCAGTCAATGAAAATTAATCTCTGAACCGACTGCATTCATTTGCTTGAGTAAGTAATGCTGCTTGGCATCCTCCAAAGCTGCAACCAAGGAAACAAATCCTCTAAGCAGCAGTGCTGCGAGTGGGCAACGATCGGAAACCAAACCCACGTAAATGGGCCTGTGCAGTGGTGCATGGTTGAGTGTGTGCGATCTCAAAGAGCTCGAAGGTGCAGAGATCACAGATTCTTCAGATGGAAACACGCAGGACAACTTTTCACAAATGCTGCTGCTGCTGGTTTGGATTATGGGAGTTTGCAGTTCTGAGACCTCAGAGGTTCAGCATGACTGCCAGTAAAACCACAAAAAAAAAAAAAAACAGAAGTTATGTCTCTGTGATACAGGTGGAAGGGAACTACCTTTACCTGCCAATATTTAGTTATAAAGACATGAAAAGTCACTAAAATTTTCTGCTCAATGTTTAGTCAGGAAAACCAGAAGGCCAGCAGTTTTATCTGTTTGCATAACAACTTTAAACTATTGAGTTATGCTTTTATATTTCTGGTAGATCTAATTTAATTGGGTCTTTTTTCCCCACAGTAAACTCACTCTGTCTTGTTGCTGGGTTTGTCCTCACTGAGCTGCAGCAGGTTGATGACAGCCTGACCCAGCAGCTTGTCAGGTCCCACCAGAGCGCGGTGCAGGACCTGGACGAGCAGCGAGCTGCGGTCCTTCCCTCCTCCTCCTCCCTGAAGCAGCAGCGGTGGCAGGTCAAAGGAGGCTTCCTCTTTCCACACCGGAGCCACGCTTTTCTCCACCACCGACGTCTGGTACTTCTCCTTGCCCACTTGCATGACCGCGTACGCGTCATTGGTGCCGCTTTTCCCCTTTGTGCGGAGGCCTCTGGCTTGGAGCACCGTTACCTGGACGCTGGTGGGACTCCACTGCTGATCCGCGAAAGACATGCTGACAGCACCCGCTGCTGCTGCTGGTGCCGCTGCAGAGAGAAACACCGAAACAAAACACCTGGCTCGCCGCGAAACTGAGGAGGAGGAAGGAAAAGTTAGTTGAAGAGCCCAGCAGGACCTCAGGAACCAGCTGATTGGGCCGCGGGTTGGACAAGCCACGCCCACCTGAATCTGACATGGGTGGATCAGTGGGCTTCACTATGAATGAACCACACCTGTCAGTGCTGTCAGAATCAATGCATTAGGGTTTCCTTTCATTTGAGGCTCATTTATCAAACTAAAAGTACCTCTAAAAAAAGAAAACAATCTGTAACAGGTTTATTTAAACCCACATTTGTACCAAGATAATATAATGGACTTTTTCAAGTTCAAGTTACAAGTTCTGACCATTAGCATGGTCAACGTTGAGCACACTGCAGCAGGATATGAAGCTTTCAACTTTGATTATTTTGGGACAATTGAATACAAAAAGACAAATCTTCTGACACTTGCTCTTGTGTTAAGCTCAGATTTTAATTGTTTTTGTCAAAACTCTTGCAAATGAGATCTTGGATCTTAGTGAGACAATCTATAAATACAAGAAAAAACTGAATCATTTAATTTTAAATGGCGCATTTCCATTGGCTGAAAGAGGGAAATTATTGACAAAATTAAGAGGTATGGATCTGAAGGAAGTGTTTCATTTAGTAAAAGTTCCTGAAATGTATTACTTAATAACAATTCAATGATGATTTTGATTATTCAGTTGACATATTTATGTCATATTATATGTAATATATAATAAAAGTAAAAAATGTACATAGAATATGCCACCTAGATTTACTTTCCTTTTAATATTTTAAGTATTTGATATCATCTCTGAATGTTCAACTTGTGAAACAATGACATGTCATCTCTAGAAAATGTATTTAGTTCAGATGTAGATTTGCTGTTTTTGTATAAACAGTGACTCCTGCTGTTAGAGGGAAGCAAACAAGAGAAAAAAACACTTTTATTGAAATTTGATAATTCAGTTCAGTTTTATATTTGTAGCAATAACATCTCAAGGCACTTTACAAAAAAAGAAAAGGACAATTCAGTCTAATAAAACCGACAAATTTAAAGTCAAGCACATAATTTCAATAGATCCCAGTTATAAAACAATACAATGAGGCTCAGTTAAAATAAACCAGAAATGTCCAGTGAAATAATAAACCAACAAACTGTGTTTCACCTTCGTTATGTGCAAAAGATTAAAGCTGCAGACAAACATAGAGCCTTGAGCCAATTAGTAAACTGACTTAGAAATGCTGGCAGCTCTACAGTCTCAGTTATGTAACGTCTGCAGTTGCTGCATCTTTAAATTAGGATTTCACTGGGTCACAGAACCTGATTTCCTAATAATTTACCTTTAAAAACGTAAAGACATGACCTTCATTGTTTGAGTCTTACCACCAGGTGTTGTGTTACTAAACAGAAGATAACAGCCTGTAACTATAATGGTTTTCTTCTTTGTCTGGTGTTCTGTCAGCTTTCCGGATGGTTGTGGTTTTCATGGTCACCCAGAAGTATTTTGCAGTAAAGCTGCTGTTGTTCTTCTTTAAAAGTATCCTTCACTTTGGTTCGTTTCAGTCCAGCATCCCTGGGGGAGCATATATGAATAGAAAAGGCAATGTCACTCAGAAAATCAACGTTAACGCTAATGTTTCCCACTGACCCTGAAGGGAGCAATTAGAGTTTGAGCCACCGATTCAGCTCCAGGGTTTTTAATACAGTCAAAGATAAAATCCCCAGTAATGAATTTCATGAACTAGGCCAGGTGTTCTGCACTATTATTACTGCCCCCATAAAAATGTGAAATGAAAATGATAAATAAACTGAATGACATTTAAATAAAACAGTGACTCACCACACGAGGTCCACTAGCTCTCCCTGGGCAGCTATGACAGCTTTTACTCGATTGGCGAACTGCATGGCATCCTCTCCTTCCTACAAATACATTTTAAAAAGAAATGAAAATTAAAAGACACCCTCTTAATGAGACTTTACATACTTTGAACAATGTATACAGTCATAAGGTGATGTTTTCCTGTCTTTATGTGCTGACAGTTGAAAACAAATAGGGTTTTTAGCTCATACAAATCATTTGAAGCTCCTGAAAAATGGAAATGGGAAGAGATATTTTAGATTTTATTGCGTATTCAAATGGGCTTATTTTGAATATTAATTATGTCATCAAAATAACACGATGACATAAACACCTCACCTTCCTGTTCATTGGTGGCAAGTACCAAACGCTGCAGACGACGGCCCAGCTGCTCATCATCCTCAGAAGGTATCGCACCAAACCAAATTTACTGCTGTCCCAAAAAGCATCTCCAAAGCGAGGATCATACTGAAACAAACAACTTTCCTCTCAGTGGCTGCTATGAACAACATGAGTGCAGCAGAGAGCGCTACCTTAATGGCGGCAGGATAGATGGTGCAGCCGATTTCGAAGCTCCCCTTCCTAAACATCATCACTGATGTGTTGTTGACACAAGAACCTGTAAATGAAATAATGTGAGGATTTTAAAACTGCAAATGCAGCAAAATAGAATTTTTTTTCTTTTTTTGTTTGTCTTTAAAACACTTTGATTGAAGGTACTTTTTAAATGACTCTCAAACATTTCTTCAAACAGCACTGTATACGCACTGCCTATTTTATCAGTACATCTTGACAGTACAGTTAGATTTTCTTTTTGCTTTCAGATGACAGATTTGGCATCTGGTTGTAGCTAATCTGTTTAAAACATGGTTTTGTTGAGGTTTCTTTTGCCTAATGGATATTTACTTCTGTTTAGACAATTCCCCTTAAACCTGAAAAAAAAAAAGGTCTTGAGTTAAATTTACGCACATCAACCGTATCTGTTTAAAATCACTTTAACTCTGTCTTTCTGGGGCTGAATTTCAACAAGTTGTCTTCACCACATCTCAGGTTGCTGCCACGGGCAAATTGACTATTTTTGTTGGCAAAAAGTTTAAAAGATTTAAGAGACAAGCAGTCGTGTGAAAATGTAACTGACAACCTTTTTTCTCTCTCTCTGTTTACACATATGCAGACATGCAGTAAAACAGTAAAAAGGGCCATTCATTTGCCTGACATTGGCTTGGAAGAGAAAATTGTCTTTCTGGTTGAAAAATAATTATTTTATGTGCATAAACATCATTAATATCTTTTTTGCAGGCTGGATGTTACTATAGCAAGCACTTTACCAGTATGCTTGCTACGGTTGTTGTCCTCCAATGTAAAGGATTAAAAAAAGTGTCCATATATTTTGTTTTACTCTTAAGCATTGTTTTGACAAAATCCATGTTCACACTTAAATGTATTTACACATATAGTAGGAGAATTGTGTTTAAAGTCTTTTGATGTTTCCTACAGTCAAACTCCTCTCATTATGTATCTATTTATGTAGGATTTACAAACTTACCTTCAGGGAAGATGAGGACAGGATGTTTGTTTTTGTCTGCAACATGATCTCTGAGCCTGAAATAACACAGAAAAAACTGAATTAGAGGATTTTTTTTAGTGTTATGCTATTCATTTTTAAGGTTAATTATTTTTTGCAACAGCATACATAATATTTTTGAGCTATTTTCACTGTAGTAGAAGTGGGCAGCTTATATTATTTAATTGAAAATCATTTGGTGAAAGTAGCCAATCACAAGTTCATATGTTCTTCTCTCTTTTTAAAAATGAACAACGCCGTGAACTCAGACTAAAAAATAAACAAGTGCAATTATTTAAATGGACCAAAGCAGTTTTAAGACTCTATCTGTAATGTTACCTTTTGGCCACTAGGCGTCTGTCTTTGACTTCAGCTCGCTCAAACCAAATATGAGGAGAAGATTTCACCATTGCTCTCTGGATCATCCCCAGCAAGCCGCCATGTAACTGCCCGACCTGTCAGATGATTTCACTTACTTCATCCCTGAGCTTTTAAAAATACTCTGACGCCATAAAAACACACACACACACTTCAAATTTCATACCAAAGAGTAGCAATGGTCATTGGCCAGGATGATCCCATCTATTGGTGTGGTGTGATTGGCCACGCAGATGCCATCATTCTTTGGTTTGTTTTCCCTGCAGATAAAGGAGGCACAGACAAACTACCCGGATGTCTTACTGAAAGCTTGAGTCCAGCTAGGAAATCACTGTAAATAAATTCTACCAATTCTGATTAGTAGAGTGGTCAGAAATCCTGCGAGATGGAAGGAGCAAGAAAGTGATCACAAAATGTTTTGCTAAGGCTATATTTAAAATTGTTTGGATTGTATGTAATGCAATGATTCTCCACTGGAGTGAAGAAAAGTCAGTTGAAGGCCATAAAAACAGACACACCAATGTTGAATGTAGATGTTCCTCTCACTGGAAATGTAGCAACAGCATCGTTGACTCTGTGCAGCAGTATTGCTCTGCAGTATTTTCAGTAAGGAAAATCAGTTTCAGAACATTAATTATCCCATACCTGTTGTGATAGGTGATGATTCCAGTCAGAGATCTAACACAGAGGCGATAACCCATCAGATGCACCTTGTCACTGAGGTAGGCTCTCAACCTGGAGTCATTGATAAAATGACTTCATGAGTTTCCATCAGTTTAGATGGAAACTCATGGCTAACACTGTCAGGTTTGTAATTTAGTATCTATCAACATAAACCTCACTTATATTTATGTTTGAGGCATCAGTAGGACTCACATTGTGCAGGGTATTAATCCCACCACGGTACTTAAAGCAATAAACAGAAAAATACCTGTGACGGCCACAGTCACTCTGCAAAACACAGAATAAAATGGTTATTTAAGACAGCTAAAAAATATATTCTAAACTTACTTCTTTGCCTCTCTGACCTGAAAGGGAGCAGTACACCATAGCGGATTAAAACTCCCAGAATCCACAGGGCTAAAAGTTTTAGACTTATGCAGCGGAAGTTGCGGTTGCTCCTAGTGAGCAAGTTCCAGTTTTCCAACTTCTGGGCCAAGAAGCGCTTGGTCACGTCATCATCTATAATGTTCTCCAAGGCTTTCCGACAGAAGAAGAAAACATCAGCCAGTTCAAACCCTGGCTCCAGACGCAGACAACCAGCACTGTGTCGTAGATCTTGAATTTCCTGCTTCAAAGTTGAATCTGGGACTTTGACTATGATACCTTAGGAGAAAACAATTATTATAAAGTCTCACAGAGAAAGATACGTCAGCACATAAATGGTTTGTGACTGAAATGCTTTACCATTGGTATAATGTTTGTAGAGTTGATGATTCTTCTCTTTTGCCTTTAGCTCCATTTGCAATGTTGTCCACTAAATAAGGACAAATAAACAGACTGCCATCAAAAACCTCTTCAGGTCACTAGACTGGAATGATAGTTGGAAAATGTGCAGCAGAAGGTAACGATGTGATCAAAGCAATGACATCAGACAGCAAGTTTTCTCTGGAGCACAGCTATGCTCCACTGAAGTTTGGGAGCACATGTGCTTTGCAGATGATAAACTCTATTATGGGCCAATTTTAGCTTCAAACTCTCACTAGCCAGCTTGTCAATTGGAAAAGTGGGTCATAAACTTGAGGGAGGACAGTTCTGCATCAGATATAAGAGAGAGAAATCTACAGAGCCACTGTGGAGTTGGGGAACAAATACAAATGAATAGATATAATACTTCTATCAAATATAACTACATGAAATTTAAAATGTCCAAAATATTATGCATAAAAATGGAAAGTGCAGCATTTTGTACGATTTAAGGACAGTATACTGGACAGAAAATGACTTGTATTACAAACAGAAAAGTTTCATTCTGAGACCTGGTTTCAAAAAGTGCTGGTTGAAGAAACTCTGGTCACTAATGTCGTATAAATGAACGTCTGATTGCAACAAAAATGTAACCATTCAATGTGAAATTACTGGCAGTCTCCAAATCTCCCAAGATTAATGTTTTGCCACAAATTTGGTTACTTTCGCTTTAAACACAAGATCAGGACAGAACATGTGTTGCTTACACATGTGTAGGTAAACCACAGGGACTAAGCTTGCTTAAGAAATTGCATTGGGACCAACTTCCCAGGGACCTGAGATTGCTACAATGTCAACACCAAGTCAGAAGGAGGTAGTGAGGCTACAAGCTTTTCCCTCAGTGGGGAGGGTAAGTTCAGATACGTCTTTTTAAATACAATTCTGTCTCTCAAAAAGAGCCTTTCAAACCTCCCTGAAAAAAAGAGAAACCAAATGTGGATGATTGGCTTCTCCCCCAAGAGCAGAGACCTCTCGCTTTTATAACAGTGCAAAGACAGTTTCAGCTGCGGCATTAATTCATATAAAGGTATTTTTAGTGTTATTAAAATAGACTGCAATAAGTATTGTCAGAGGAGGCAATTTTTTAAATTATGTGCAATTTAAAAAAAGTGAAAATGAAGACTCTTTGATTCCAGTAATTTCGAACCAGAGACACTTCAAACTCACCTCAAATACACTGAGAAGTATCCTCATGTAGCACTTATGGATCCGAAAAGGAACTCCGAATACAGCCGGCACAATTAGGAAGCCAAACACAAGAGTCAGCCACACATCGGTGAACAGGCCAAGATATTTGGAGAGCAGATCAGCAGGCCACGTCAACCAAGCCATGTTTTAAGAGTAGGAGACATTAAGTACAAAGAGATGGAAACCTCCAACTTTACCAAAAGTCTGCTGCTCTGTTTATAACCATGATGACTGAGTTAGACATCAGGATTTATCAACGTAGATCTGATTTTAAAAAAGAGAAAATTAAGATAAGAAACACACAAAAACAAACTTCATGATCTCAAGCAGTTGCTTCTAGATGAGAAATAAATTTAGTTGTCTGGGAAATTTTCTTTTTGTATCTTTTGTAACCTTTTTATAATAAGCTCACAGCAACACAAAGTAACCCACAATTGTCTCCTACCGTCTGACGGACATGAATTTGTACCTGAGAGGATGACAGATGATTAGTTGGTGCTCCATCTACCAGAACAAGGGACTCTGTGCTGTTTGCTTTTCAGGCAAGCAGCAACAAGTTGCTGCAGAAACACTTGCAGCGACAGCCAATGAGAGCTGCAGTCACTGCGATGTCGACTGGGAATAAACCTTAAATCTGATTATGGTGGATTTACTATGCACTGCAGCAAGGCTTTTTGTTAGAGCAGAAAAAATAGAAAGTTACCCACATTTTTGTTTCTAATCTTTTTTAATTAAAAGAACAAAAGAAGAAAAATAATTTTATAGAAGAATGTTTGTTGAGAAATACTACAGTGATCAAATCAAAGTGTCAGGGTTGAGGATAAAGTCAAAAGATTTTTTTCCACATTGTTTATGGCTTGACATTTTCATTTTCTTCAAATCTTTTAAAAAGATTTCTGAGTATTAGTAGTTAATCTCTGACAAATTCTTGTTGCGACATTTAGCAAATTAAAATAATTTTGATAGTTCTCCGACCCAAAACCAGAAACATCTGGTCTGGTTTAAATTCAGACAGTGAAAAAAAGGTGCATCTGTCTTTTGATAAGATGTAGATATCTGGTTTAAACTGTTTGACACTTTTATTTTTCTAGCCACATTATGGTTCAAACTTCAAAGGTTTACAGGATTTATGATGAGTTTGTTTAAAAATGGTGCCATTTCAATATCAGATAAAAATAAAATGCAAATGATGTCCCACATAAACACACATTTTCCAATTGAAATATCTTTATTTTTAAATATTCTGCTACAAATCGCAGTAGTTTTCTGTCATGCATAGTTTCACACAGTTAAGACACATAAAAATCACAAAGTTGGATTTCCCTTTTCAAATATATCTCAAGATCAGAAAACATGCATATTCTCTCTTGTTTATTCTTGAACAGTCAAAGCTGTCCCAGCTTTGCTTATTAAACTAAATCAGATTTTGTAAACGTTCTTTGGCTTTTTTGCATAAGAAGCTCACCTGCTTCCTCATATTTACTGATAATAAAGTAGTAACACAGGTTTTAGAGACTGGAATGTGTTTAGAGAGGAGGGTGGAGGACATTTACGTTTCAGCTCACTTTGAGGTATATAATGCTGACCAAAAGGGAACCTTTTTGGCTTTCAAAATAAGAAAACTTACAAAATCCCCAAAATAAAACACTTTCATGACATCTAAAACCATTCCTATTAACTAATCTGCTGACTTCCTCAGCGACAGATTAGTGACAACGTTCTGATCACATACTTCATTATTATTCATGCAAGAAATAATCAACCATAAAAATAATAAAAAGCTTATTCTGGTACTAATAATGTTTTTCTTACAGGATTGCAGCTAAATTGGTAACTTCTGCACGCTAGAAGTTGCACATGTATGTCACAGAAAAGTCAGTGCTACATTTTACATACTTACCAAACAAATATCAATTTGTCTTAAGTTGATTTTTCTGTGGTCGGTATCGACATTTAACATCAACAACACACAAAACGCACACGCAGACATGACGAGATGACAAGGTATGTTTCTATATTGCTTTTTGTCTTTGTGCTTCATATAACTTCTGGATTTAAACAGATTTCACTGCACTTTGTGTTGCTTTGCTTCAAACGGCTCTATTAAATATAATTACTCTTAACTGCTACAGTGCGCAATAAGAGGCTGTTGGTGTTTGCAGAAAATATCTCAAACATCACATCCGGCATTACCCATCGGGTCGGTAAACACACAGAGATGTTGTAATTATTAAAGAAATCACGTTTAGAAAATGTACTCTGGAAAAGTCACGAGTGCAGCCGTTGGTTTTGTTTATGCTCGGAGGAACAGCAGCAGGGTGTCATTAACAGTGAGGCTCCTGGCTGGACTCGTCAGCCGTTCAGCGAGGCAGTTTTGGGGCAAGGTTGATATGTTTTTGCCGTCTTCACAGTTCAGAGAAAGTTGGTTTTCTTCGCCAGGCTTTCTCCACGCTCCTCCAGCTGAGGATCCACATCCGATACAAGGTCTGGCAGGAACTCATCGGGACATCATTCGAACAAATTCTGGGAATTATGGAGGAAATGATGTATTGTTAGCATAGTTTAATGCAAAGCTTTGATTTTGTTTAAAATAAACAGGACCAGAATTTTAAAACTTCACTATTTGTTGATTTCATTGTTTGTTTGTTGTTGTTTTTTTACTTTGAACGTAATTAGCAATTAGATTATTTAATTTATTTAATTATTTAAACTATTTTATGGCTTTAATTTCAATATTTTGAAGGCTTGCTATAGCCTGATGTAACCTCTTAAGTTAATTATTACACCTAACAACAGCTGTTGTTGCATCTTTAAAACACAAATAAACAAAACCTCAAAAAATACTGTAAAAATTAATCCTTCATTTTATTTTTGAAATTAATGAATTTATTTTCTATACCCCTCTTCAGATTCACTGTTGTTCAACTTTTTTATTTATCGACTTTTATTTATCAAAAATACAGAACAAGTTTTTTGAGTACTAAATGCAAACTTCAACATTTGAACATTAGATATAAACTTTTAATGAAATTCCTGCAAGATGGCACAAAAATGAAAGTATAAAAATTAAACCAATAAAACAGTTTATTAGTTTTGATTTTTGTTTTTTAACTTTACATTTATTCATCTTTTTCTCTGCAGGCAATCTTTGAGGTGCAGCAATATGTTGCCTTGTAGATAAACTAACTCATTCATCCTTCATCCTGTCATTCCAAAACCAGGAAAGTGTCACCACGAGAAAGACACACACTCATTCCGAATAAATGCATCTGTGTGCATGAATAAACACACATCTCTTGAAAACTACCACAAAATGCAGATCCAGATCATAACTAGTGCATGTGTTATGTTATATTGTTTTCACATATTAGCCGTTTTACCTTCAAAGTCCACATGTCCATCTCCGTTTAGGTCAATGTCACGTAGAATTTCCTCCAGATCTCTGTGTCCAACCTGGTAAAGTTGAGAGGAAAGTGTCAACTTCTGTGGCACACACTCAGACTAAATTTGCACGTGAAAAGAGACGGGCAGAAATCAGTCGGACACTGATTGATGGAGAGACGCAGAAAGGAGGGCAGTCTCTCCGTACCTGCTGTCCTAACAGTTTTTTCATTGCTTCTCTGAGTTCGGCTGTGCTGATCTGGCCATCACCATTGGTGTCAAACTGAAAATAAGGGAAAAGATTGTTAAAATAAGTAGCTGGTGTAACTCTTGACTGTACTTCTTCTTTTTGTAGCCTTTTTCTCACTGCACAATCTGTTCTTTTAAAACCAGGATGAGACTCTTTAGTGCAAATATAATGTAGTGCATATAGGTACTGCCTCTGCGTATTACTCATTTCATTTTACGCGATGATGCAAATATTTTTCAGCATTTGATGCACACAGATGCTACGTTAATTAGTCCTGAGTTAAGTGTCACACAGCAGTGGGTTCTTCCTCACCTCCTTAAAGGCATCCCTCAGCTCCTTCACTCCGATCATGTCGGCTGTTTCAGCCAGAAGTTTGGGCCCCATAAGTTCAACAAAGTCCTCAAAGTCAACATGTCCTCCCACTGTTAGAAAACAAGAGTTAACCTCAAATCCACATCACAGAAAAGTCACAAATCTGTGACGTAAAGCAGAAGATAAGCCAGAGTTAGACTTTCCGTCAGAAGGAAATAAAGCAAAACGAAACCAAACAGTTACGGTTCATGTTGATCTGCTGGCTCAGTTCTATCAGCTCCATCTCTGTTGGCATGTATCCCATCGTCCGCATGCAGTTCCCCAAGTCTTTGCAGCCAATGAACCCATCTTTATCTTTGTCAAACTCCTTGAATGCTTCACGCAACTCTGGGGACAAAAAAATATGTAATAAAATTACATTAAAATATTTTAGAAATTGCTCATTTGGACTGTTTATTCTGCTATGAATAAAGCTTTGTTCACAATTATTGACAACATTGATAAAATGATGTAGAAAAGCCTTTTAAAAAGTAATTAAATAACGTGCACTATTAGTTTTGCTGTGGTTCTCATGGCTGTCATGTAGTTGGAAAATAAACTTGAATTTTGTGAATGTTGGAAAGTTGAAGTCAGTATCTAAAAATCCTTACATGACTGGTATGTTCTCTAATCTTTCCCATTTATAGAGAGTCCCAAACAGAAACATGCCATTGCTTCACGTTTATAAGAAATTTCTAGACAATCTGTGGTAAAATATGCCTAAATGTGCTTGATTACATTTATTGCACATTAATTTGTAGGATTTTTTTGTTACTTTTCTTAGTGTGAGAATGAATGTACTCAAATAAGAGATTGGATTTCTCCAAAATTTAAGATGTGAGATTGTAGCACAGCAGTAAAAAATGATTGCTTTATTTCAAAGTATGTTTTCAACAGCGGCTCTATTAAACTTGATTGATGCCGTCATGTGACATACCATCCAGCTCTTCTGGCCTCAGCTCTCGGTCCTGCAAAGAAATCACAGCGAAAGGTTATCACCCAAACTGTGGCTGACATGTTTAAACTCTTGCCAACTTTCTTCATTCCTCATACAACGTGATGCTGTAAAAAGAAAATTAGGAATGGAACAAAACAAAAATAGGGACTTCTGGATGTGTGCCAGCAGTTTTCAGTTTTGCGTCCAACTGGACAGGAGGAGCTCATCCGTAAGATCACAAAGAGATAAAAACACGCTGAGAGTCTTGGCAGTCGGATAAAATTTGGCGTATGGAACAAAAGAAATTAGACAAACATCAGAAATATGGTATTTGTAAGGTAGGTTCTTCAAATATTCTGGAATATTTCATTTTCACTGTATGAGGAATAAAAGTTTTGTTGTTCAGCTGGTATAATGGATACATACAGTGGCTCTCATAAGTGTACGCTCCTGTTAAAACGCCTGACTCTTCATTGTTTTTCTTTGTAAATGCAGTTTTTTAAATTTTTTTATTAGGAATTTGTCGCCATCTTTTTATAAAAGTTTTCTAATTCTATTAGATTGTAATACTTTAATTGAATAGACTCTCTCCTGTCTGAAGCCCTCTTCAGGTCATATTGCATCTTGGACTCTGCTTAGATCATTCAAAACCTTTGTTTTTTTCTTGTGCAGTCATTCTGATGTTAACTTGGATTAATTGTAAACTTTCTAAACAGAAATGTGATCGTTTTTGGTTAAAACTGACTGGTACTTAGACTTGTTCCTGAATTAATTCACAAAAAATGTTGAGTTGTAGTTATAGCTGTTGAATTTGATTTTGTGTAGCTTTCAGTCAGCCGAGCTCGTCATTTATTAGCTCTGTCACATGAGTGATAAGTGTAAAGAAGAGTAAAAAGTTTGTTTTCTCCATCTTGCTATTTGTCCTAACTCAGAGTGACCTTACCACTATCATTTATACATTTGTTGGCTGTGCGCTTTAGCATAAGGAGAATACAGGAGATGGCTGATATGCAGGACACAATTAGTGCATGTCAGAAATGGCCGGTGTTGGCCTCCTCACCGCCTCTCTAATCAGTTTCTCCTCCATCTTTTCATCAACTTTGGAGAATCTTCCAGTTGTTGTGTTGTCTCTATTGTCTCATGATTTCTCCAAAAATGGATGACTACTTTCAGTGTGCCGTGGTCGAAAGCCAACAAGCTTTTTTAACAGCATACACTTGTAAGCATGTCCACTGTTATTATTGCATTTGAATCTTTGTTTCAGTTTTTTCCAAGAATGTTGTTCACATGACAAAACCCCGCTCTTTTAACCAGTGTGTATGCTTTTGAGAGCCTCTGTGAGTTCTATGCAAAATATATTTATTTTATTAACTCACTCAGAATGTTATCTGACAATTTGTTCACTAAAACCCCCAAAAATCTAGACATATTTTCCTGCATTTTTGTAGAAGCATGAAAAGAAATAGTGACCAGGAAATGTGTGTTTCAATTGTTACCAAAGGTTATGAAGGGTGCATTCTTCGTAACCTTCCATTTTTTACTGAAGTATTCAGCTTGTATACACGCCACGCAGACACACACACTGTCTGCGTTGTTTACAACAACCAAGAACGCTCCTTCCATCTCAGACTGTCAAGTCAACACCATCTTCTGAGCAACACCACATTTATATGATGCCTATTGTGATCATTTGCTGGTGGTTATTCTGCATAAACTGCATTTTGTGCTAATCTTCTTTGGAATGCATGCACTTTATATGTTCTGGACTTACGTACAGCCAGTCGGCTCTCAGCGAAGCCCTTGCGTAGAAAGATGCATGCAGGCCCCAGCACGTTGTGCATGTTGGCTCCGTTCTGGGCCAGGGCTACTAGTGGCTCAAGATGCCCCCCCCCAGATCCCCCCTCCTCACTGGACTGCACTGCTTTGTAGTTCTTCTTCTTGTCCTGGAGCAGCATCCAGGGTGAGGAGCCAGAAATGGGAGCAGAGGTAAAGACAGGGGTAGAGACTGTGACTCATTTTGTTGAGGTGTGGTGTCAACAAGGAGTCGGGTGGAAGTGGATTGGGTTCAAAGGGCATGCGGGGGTCCGGGGGGCAGGGGGTGACTGTGGACTGACACATGGGTGTCAATCAGGAAAGTGTGAATTCAGGTTAGTTATGATGGATGAAGGAACCCAGTCAAACAAAACAGGGTGTAACATATTATGACAACGCAGCTGATGCCATAAATGAATCTGACTTGTACATTCCCATCCCATCTAGCAAAGTGGTGGTAAATCTTTACATTATGTGGAATTAGGTGAGAATTGCCCAACCATTTGGGGTTACAAATTGTTGTCTTGTGCTTCTAAAACATTTAAGGTATTGTATGTTCATGTTGAAAAATGCTTCTAGCAGGATGGAAAATATGTCGATTTTGTAATTGAATGTTGGACCAAGCTCTTTCTAGACGCTTCATTTCAAAATGTCTGCGCTGAACACAGTTTCTTAGAAATGTATTTATACGTTTGAGCTTTTTCACATTTCATCACATTATAACAATGACCCAAAATGTATTTCATGTAAGCCTGTTCATCACGTCATTATTGTCTAAAATTTCACATTAACATATTTGCAATGCAATCTTCTTGTCTTGTTTCCTTTTAGGGAACATTGTAAACCGATCCTGTTGTCCTAATTGATGAAGTAAAATTTCAGTTAGCCATGAAATTCCAATTACCAATCAGTCAGTCAACCAGTGGGCAGATGTTGTTCTCCCAGCAGCCGACTCAATTAGTGTGAGAGCTGCAGGTTAATTAAAAACAATCACTACCTCTCAGAGTGGCATATTCCTGCAGATTAAATCACACAAGCTCCTACTATCATTATATCGGTGCATAAAGGCAACATTTTACATCTTTTGTCAAACTCAGAACATGAAATGTGGAGTTCTGCCCTAAAAACCACAAAATAGGATCGCCAAGAAACTATAAAAGCAACTGACCCGACATCTCAGAGAATAACCGAACATCCATTTATCGACTGCTTAAACTCTCTCTGACATGAGCTCACAAACATAGGCAGATGAAATGTTCCTTTTCTTGTATGACATCCTACAAACAACCTTCACACTCCATCTGCCACCATGCCAGTCCTAATGCCAATTTGTGCATTCCTACAGTTCTCGCCACAGGAACGAATGCCCACTGGGTAATCTGAGCAAGCGATGCATGGAGCAGGGCTACATTCTGCCAGAAAAGTACCATGGAGCCTCGTGCCAGTTATATAATCTAACAGGAAGAGGGAAAAGAGAGCACATCTACACATACACACATTAGAGAAGAAAGTGAGAAGAAACTCTGCAGCGCTCCTCGAACAGATGGCATCAACAGTTGCTTGTCATATTGTGCTTTCTTGAGGATGTGCAGCTGCAGATATGAAAGCAGTCACTGCTATGATGGGGTGCATTCAAGCATAAGAATGACACAACCAGAGCGAGTAATGAGATGAGTTTGTTAGGTTTCATGCTTTTGGGGGGGCAATGTGAATCAATTCTGGTTATAGATTTTATCTGATAGACTCTGATAGTAATAAGAAGCTGCTTCTAACCACTGAGGGGAATTTGAGGTTTTTAGGTCTGATGACATGATATTAATCATGCTGTAAAGGATCTCAAGCGCTAATCAACTCTGCAGGACCGATACTCCGAAACAATCCTGTCAACTATCCGGACTGAAAGTCACGGCGTTAACAAGCTGTGATGCTAATTCTGTACCAAACCCCGGTTTGATTTGATTTTATAGCTACAGCTGGGGACTAACGTATCAGAGTGAACAGAGGGATCATTCAGGAGGGATTGAGTCAAATATTACAGCCACTGATCCAGTTGGTGACACACCATTACACAAACATGCACTGAGGGTCAGGGGGAGTCGAGGGAGACGACCACAGGGTGAAAAACCTCAGAGCGAAGCTTACCTTCTTGGTGAAATTTTTTAGTGACTTTACAGAGTTTCCCATTGCAAAAAGAAAAAAAAAAAAGGCAACAAAATCTCCCTGTCCTTTATGTTTTACCTCTAACTGTACTATTATGTCGGTTTGTGAGTGCACTTGTCTGCATGCATGTTTGGATGGGTGTCAAGGCATGCATTGGAGTAGAAGGACCAGAAAGGGGAAAAAGGTTCAGTGGGTTACTGACTGACATCAAGGGACATTTGGGGAAAGACAGAGAAAATACGAGGAGAAGGACAAAGGAGGACCTGCTGGATGGTACAAGGAGACGGAGGCTGAGACAAAATAAAGGACAGGTTAAGGAGAACAAAGATTATCAGGGAGAGGAAGCATGCATGTGATCTGTGGAAGATGCGAGTGCCTGAAGTGGAAAAGCAGGATTGCTTATTCATTCTATCCTCTCTCCCACCGTGTCTTCCCTCCCTCCCCTCTCCCCTCGCTGTCTCTCGTTGCGTGTCCGTCAGTCTTGCTCTTTTTCCCGCACACCCCCCATCTGCCTCCCAAACTCCGGCTAACTCCACACTTTTAAACCATCTTTGTATAAATGTGCCTGACAAAGTTGTTTCGGACAAGCATATTACCTTCTTCTGACCAAGAGGCTAAAGACACTAATCCAAACACGCAAACACACACACCAACACACACTTGATCAAACACACTTGGATGTGGGGCTAGGAAGCTAAAAATAAAACTCTCTCTCTCTGCCTCTTTTCTCCACCCCTTTTCCGACTCTACCCCCAGCATCCGTCCCCGACTACATGGAGGCAACACAAAGTCATGATAAGCTTCAGGGCTCGGATTCAGATCAAAGCCAAAATGGTAAAGAAATTACACACGGATGCCGAATTACCATGACGGAGAGAGGAGCGGAGCAGCACGTGCAAACGCAAACACACACAGACAGGGAAAGAAATGCTCGCCGGCAGTTTGTCTTTCACACATTCTCTCTCTCACACACACACACACACACACACACACACACACACACACACACACACACACACACACACACACACACACACACACACACACACACACACACACACACATTTGCCACAGAGGATAAACACTGAATATATAGTGTCTCTAAAACCAGCAGTTGAAAGGAGTAAATGTAAAAACAGAAAATTTCTTCCAATGCAACTTTGAATAGAAAAATAAATTACAGTTTTGATGACAAAATTGATATTGTTGTTTCAGTTTCCAGAATGTCTTTTGGTGCCCTAACTTCCATATATTAGATCAGCATAATGTTTTTATTATGAATTTATTATTCAGAGATTATGATGTAAGACTTTCTTGAAAGTTTTAAGGTTTTTCAGTCTCCAGAAGGTCTTTTAAAGATTTTGTTTGCACTGTGGCTTCTATTTCAACTCCTTGATGTGAACCTTTAAATAATTTTAGGGATTTAGTCCTCATTTCACCGTTTTTTGTTGTTCTTTTGGTTTTATTACATTTTGCTATTTAATTTGATGGCTTGTCTATTAAAAATTCCTGCTCTTAGAATATTATGCTGCACAGGAAAAGACACTTTTCCTGTGCAACATAAGAAGAAATATTTGAAATTTGAGTCTACAAAACATGTTGGAAACATATTTTCAGCCCTTCAACTTCTTCACATCTCCCATGTTTAATTTGCATACAAGGTTAATTCTTCTATAGCTTGTCAGGTTTTGCAAAATATGAATATTATCAGCTGTACCTGACCATAGGACCTTCTTCTTCTTCTGCTCTTATGAGAAAATAGTGTTTAAAACAGCAGCATATCGCCCCCTGAGACGCTTCAGTGAAAAACTACAGATCTGAGTGGAACATGCTTGGTTTTGCTGTGCTAAAAATAGTATAAGTATGGACACAAAAAGGACAGACCACGGACATGGAGGCATCTCTTTATACTGAATAACAGTATAATTATGTTGAAAAATACCTTTTTTTTATAATTATTTATTGTTTATCATTAAAAAGAAAGGGGCCAAGTTTAATGGTACATTTGAAGAAACCTGAGGAAAATATGTCTCCAGTTCATCCAAAAGCTTAGTAACTTTTAAATTAGGTTTTAATTATCATTCTTTCAGCATTACTACGTGTGTGTCTGTAAAGAGCAATATCAATACTGATATTCTAAGAATCACCACATCATTATTAATGACTTTAATAATTATTAACAGCTTTCTTTAAATGCTTCTGGGTATTTATTTACAAGCCTAATTCCTATCAAGTCGTAAATATCTGCCTTACAGAGACTCTGTTCTCTATGTCTGTGAGTAAAAAGGGCCTCTATCTGCTCGTATTCATGCTATGTAATTAGCAGTTATGGATTACTGTTGAAATAATTTCAGGTACTATGATCAACTTAAAAAGTAATGAAAATGATACGTTTTATAGGAAATGTTTTGAGTGACACAAACTGTGGCAAAGAAAAGCATTTAGTTAGATTATGCTGCTGCTGAAAGGTTGATTTAATTTTGAACATCTCTGCAAGGTGCACCAATTCATGTATTGTATTTTATGCACTCACTATGTGATCCCAAGTTTCACATGTGAGTTGAAATTGTGACTGTACTGAGTTTTGAATGAACTTTTGAATTTAAAGAAAATCATGCTCTTACATAATTTTTTTTTCACTGATCTTAAATCAGCTTTCTAGTTTCAAACTTTTGACTTATTTTGCGTAGAGAAGGTCCAAACTCCACATGCAGTAAAAGCATCCTCGCTTTATAAAGTTGTCTCCCACAGTCTCAGTTCCGCAGGCAACGCCAGCGTCAGTCACTGCAGCCGCCTATTTTCTCTTCTCCTGCTCGACCTTGTCTGTTCGCTCCTGTTCTAATAAACACATTCACGCCGGAGTCATTTCAGATCTAAGCTCCCATTCAGCGTCCTCTTTGTTGCTCTGCAGATGATTCATCCAGCCTCTCACCGGAGGCTCATTGTGAACTTCAGAACACATCAGACGTCAGATACAGGAGCCGTCAGCTCTTATAATGTCACACCACAGTGTGCACGGGCTTCATTTCCATCTCTCTCCCTTTATTTCTTTTTTGTACTTTTTTTCCTTCTCCTTGGTGGATTTTACTCACTCACTAACTCAGAAAATCCTGATTACTATCTTACACAACTGTTTGGTAACAGCATCCTGCAAAAAAAAAACAGTGATTCTAGGATCTAACTTAGAAGCTGCTTTTAACAGGCTTCATTAATGCTGCAGACGCATCAGAAAATAAACAATAGGATGCTCACTACAAGAAGAAATATTTGAAATTTGAGTCTACAAAACACTTTGGAAACGTATTTACAGCCCTTCAACTTCTTCACATCTCCCATGTTTTATGCATTAATTTTAATTTTATGTGATAGACCAAGATAGTGCTTAGCTATGAATGGAAATCAAATGGAGTTTATTTATGTTTATTCCCCTTCAGTAAATACTGGGGAGAGTTACGTAATGCTTCAGTTATAATCTTTTGGAGTTTGTCTCTTCCACCTTTCTACATCTAACATCTTGTTCTGCCAAAATATTTGCTTGTCTGCCTTCACACCTAAATGATCCTGAGTTACAGCCGACTCTTAATTAATACTGTTCACTGTGATGTTATCCCACTCCTTTCAGTTCCATTATAAACACATTTTTTAGGTCAAACACTGGTGTTGGACAAGAAAGCTCGGCTGATAGTCTCCACTTCAATTCATCCCAAAGAGGTTTCGTTGAGTTGGGGTCAGGACTCTCTGGAGGCCAGTCAAATTCTTGTGCATCAAAGTAATCCATGGTTTCATGGACCTTGTTTTGTGTGATGAACCACAAGGTCATGTTGAAATATTAAGACATAAACTCCAAACTGTTCCAACAAAGTTGCGTTGCTGCACCATTAGGAGTTCCCTTACGCTGGAACCAAAGTTCATAAAAAACCCACAAAATCATTCCAAAATGTACTCTTGACATAGTGCAGCCTGGACAATGACAAATTCAAACTAGTTTGACAAACAGCAAGTTTGTCACTCTGTGTCTCTACTGTCCCCACTGGTTTAAAGCTTCAAATTTGACATTTGACTCTTTGTGTTGCATCTGGTGATGTAAGGCTTAGATGCAGTTGCAAACCCATTCCATGAAACTATCTACACAAAGTAGATACTGTCCACTTTTAAAGCTCGTCTTAAAACCCATCTATTTTACTTGGCTTTCAACTCCAGCGAGATCTAGTTTTACATTGTATGTTTGTTTTAAACTGTAAGAGTTTTTATTTGTTTTTATTTATTTTATGTACAGCACTTTGTATCAGCTGTGGTTGTTTTAAAGTGCTTTACAAATAAAGTTGGTATGGTATGATATGGTATAGATAGTGTAGCTAGAACTACACTATCAACACTATTGAATTATTTCTTTAAATAATTTTGAAGTTATTTAAAGAGCTGCAAGAAGTTTTGAGTCCTGTGGTCACCGACTCTGCTGAAAGTTGCCTTTCACCTGATCTCGGATTTTATCCGAGATCAAGTAAGTACCAAATAATTATAATCGTATTTTTTCAAAGAAGAAATATTTTGCACCTTACATTGTGTATTTAAGTCTATTTGTCCTCCTAGGAAGGCAATCATATTTTCAGTGCATCTGGATACTGAGACGAAATAGTGTGACCATGGGATTCCTTCCCTCTGTGGATTTCAGTCATCAGAAAGAGCATTTGAAGAAAAAAACACATTTGCGTCATTCCTTCAAGCTTGGGCTGAGACGTCACACTTTTATCCAAATGATCCACTAAAATCACATTTGAGCAGAACACCAGACTTCATCCTAGATGTGGTTTTCATCGAGCGTGTCTCTATTTTTGTCCTGTTTTTCGGTAAATCTATGTCATTTTTGTTTCTTGTTTTAAATTCAGATTGTCACAAACATTCATAAGTTAAACAAACCATAAATTCAAACTGTATATTGTGCATGCATGCAATCTCATGCTAATTTTGTGGATTTCACCGAAGGGTAAATTTTCTGCCTCCATCTTTGGCAGCACAGATATAAAAATACCCAACTGTGTCTAAAAATAGCCTGTTTTACTCCAGACAAACTGAGAACATGTGCAGCGGTGAGATTAAGCCCCTCACTCTCTTTTAATTTGCTTCCTCTTTGTGGTAAAGATGGGTTTTTATTTCTTTTAGTCGATTCTTTGATGTCATCAAGGTCAGGATGACCCAAGGAAGAAGTTAAAAAAAAATAAAATGCCATCACTTGCACATGCAGAAGGACAAACTGTAAAAATACTCTTTCATCTGACATTAGGGCTTTTCATTGTGAGCAGGCATATATTCTAGCTGGTTTATCCAATTTCCGTGTTTTCTTCAGTTCCTTCTACCGTGAAACGTTTCTGAGTTCACTCATGGGACACAGAGGACGGCGAGGTTCTCTCTGAAATATATTCTGCAAGTTTTATCTTATAGGTGCTTGCACCCTCTGCTGGATAACACAAGCTTTCTTCTGCATTTTTATTTTACACAACTCCGACTCCTTGACAGCATGCAAGGTTCCCAAAGATCTTAGCATTTTTACAAAGAATGGAAATGTAAATACATTTTCAAGAGAGTCAGGACTGTTAACTTGAATAATTTAAAAGCTGAAGCTTTTTTTATATTTTGTGTCTACTTTGAACGCAGAATCCGGCATTGAAATGAACATTGCTTGTTTAGCATAGTCTAGGAGGCTTCACTGTCCTGACTTGCTGCTCAGTAATGCTGATTGCTTCTACAGATATGGAGTATAAGACAGGAGCTTGGAGCAACATCACAGCTGATGCTTAAAGGATTTGTTTGAATCACTAATAAACTCTGTCAATTATCAAGTTGGCTCAATTTTGTCAAGTAAGACATACAAAGAAACTGTGGCAGAACATGAGGCCTGTTTGGGATGGAACAGAGAACTTGATGTCACATAAATTATGGGAAAACTTAGAAAATTTTGATTAGCTGGAAAGATAATCAAGATATTTGTCCTACCTTCCCAAACGTAATTGTTTGCTGTGTTCTGAATGTTGCAGTTCCATTTGTATATTTGGATGCAGTTCTCTATGTCTCAGTTCAACTTTGCCATTCACTACTGCATCCCATAATCTTCTCTTTATGCTTTTTCTCCTTGTAAGTTCTTCTTATTTAATTAATTTGCTTAACCATTATGTTCTGTGTTAGAGCTGTTCAAATCTGAAACATGATAGCTAGCTGAGAAAAACATGTCGTAGTCATTATTTATTGCAGTGGTGCTGTGAACTTTTGCTTCTCCTCCAAGAGAATGTTGTTACCAGGACTTTAAAAAACTCCAGTTGCTTGATGTTATTTTACATGCAAATGAGCTAAAATAGTTCACCTTATTGCACTTGCTAAATAATCCCTTCATGATTACATCTTAAGGTGTGCATAGTAAACGTGTTTCTTCGGACTTGAGTCAATGTGTGACTCTAGGAAAGGTACTTGATTCACTAATCTGCTGCGTAAGCTTAAGTGTTTCCCCGCTTTTTTTATTTAGGTAATACCTAAAAGAAAACGCTGCTGTCCTCCTGTCTCATAATCAGGTCTTGATGGGCTTATTTTTAGCTTCTTCTACTCCCTGCAAGTGAGTTCTGCTGAGATTGCATGGAGATCTTGATGTTACATAATAAACTGTGAAATGAAAGAGTTTGCAGAGCTTGACATCTCACCCTGGGTTTTGAGTGATGCTGCTGTGTCTCTTCAAGGAGAAAGCATCTCATTTGTTTTTCAGTTTTATTCCCATATAAGCGACATTCACAGAGTGAAAGCAACTAACCTGCTCTTTTAATCCTGACGTTTCACATCCAAAATCTGCTGTAGCACTTTAAAGGAATAGTTCAAAAATTATAGGAAGTTAATATCTTACCTAAAGTTGATTATTCTCTTGGTGTCTGGGTTT